CTACTACTACTACCACCACTACGACTTCGCCTACTACGACTACGACGACGACGGCGGGAACAAGATGAGCCATCGATGGGGGTAGGAAATCGATGTCCCAACGGCAAGCTGAGTACCACAGCCTGATTACCAGGAGCTTATCTATTTGGCGAAGCTTCTCGATGCTGCGATCTACGCACCTGGGGCGCACATCAGATTGCGTTGTGATGCTGAAGTCACGGCGGCCAGAAATCGGTCCTAAGTCAGCCATGCAGTCTCCAGGACTGTGTAGGTGAATGTTTGCGGCCCGAAGCCGGAGCCCTTTCCGTCCAAGGTCTTCCTGCCTCAAATTATGATCTTTCTCATCCGCCTCATGCAGCAGCGGCCTTTGCTGCATCGCATGACGACACGCACGGTGGTCATCGGCCACCCAGTTGTTGATGGCCAGTTCTGTGTTGTATTTTTTCATGTGCCTTTCTGCTCACACAACAGAGCCAATCATTTTTCGAGGAACTTCCATGGAACGGTCGTCATCACCGTTTTGGAAAAGTCACCAGCAACAACATCCAATCTGCTTCATTTGAGATGCAAGCGAACGGTTCTGTTTTGGCTTTATGTTGTTCTAGCCGGAAGCTCGTGTTCCGACGTGGTCTAAGGTGACGTTCCGTGGGTGGCTCAAGCGGCGGAATCTTTCCTCTCCAAGCTCATGGCTTGCACCTACAGCGCCACCGGCCTCACTGTTTTCTCAGCCAATCCTGCAGACCACCTGGTGCACCGCAACCGGGCACTGAACACCTAAGCTATAGGAGGTATAGGATGAGTAGGATGAGTAGCGCTTTCTCCTGGTCGGTCGGGTTGAGGCTTCGGGTTTGCCGTAAGTCTTAGGGCCTAGGGATGCACTGATGGCATGTACAACGGCTACGGCTTCCGCCATACCGTCACTCTACAGCCGCCATCATCATCTTAGACAGCATAGTGTACTCAAGCCCATCACAACTTCTGCAACAACAGCATCAAGAACCACCAGTGACAAGAGTGACAGTCCCAGCGGTTCCGCACTCGCCCCAATCAGGCATGACACATCGAGTGGTCCGAGGGACTCTGCTTGCTGTCGGGCGTCCTGATGGGCGGCTCACCGCTCTCAGCACAGCGGAGCAGTCCGATTCCTAGAACGATTTCTGCACGTTGGTGGACTGGACTTGTGGTTCTTGCAAAGATTTAGCGGTATCATTGTATCCCATGCCGGGAGCTGCAATCCGGAATCCTTGCAGAGGCAAGCTGTGCGAATGGATGCTCGGAGGTTGTGCTGAGTTACTCATGCTCATGATGCTCCGGGCGCCAACATGCACGTGCAAACAAAGACAGACTTGCAATGACATCTGATGGGTCAGTAGTGCAACGACACGAGGGAGGCACGACGACACCTCAAGCTTGCACGATGTCACGATAGTAACTACTTACTGGGGTTACGAGAGCACTGCCAGTTTTGGATGCTCGGCTCTGGCCTTGTTGCATCTTTCGGAGGTCAGTCTGCATGGCCGTCAGCCAGGCGCAGATTTGCAACAACAATCCTGCTGTGGCTCCTTACATGGTGGCTCTCTGACTGCCTGTCGTCAAGCGCAGTCGAAACGAAACCGCTTGATGTGAGGTCCTTGGCTCCCAGTCGCATAGTGTAGCTTTCTACATGGTATGGGGAAGTGCGATCTTTGAGTTATATGCTATCGGGGTGAGCGACCTGCACTCGCCCGTGTCTTCAGCCGATTTCTCAAGTAGCGAGGCCCCACTAAACATGGCAGGAGGTTGCCCCAGGCACCAAACGGAAAGCACGATACCGTAGACAAGAGCCTGGATCACCTCTCTAGATGCCTGTCAGAACAACTCTGCACTCTTATACGGATGACCCTCAGAAGTGACAGGCGAGCTCAATCCAGTCCCTGGGAGCCACTTGCGAGAGTCCCTGCGGTCAAAGATTATGATAAGGAAGTGTCATAGGCATACAGGCCTACAGGGAGAATTTGCAGAGTTCGTGTTCCATTGGTGGGTCTTTTTCCGTCTTTCCTGGTTGTTCTCTCCCACTGCCAAGACGGAGACGCATTACTATAGAGAGACATGCTGTGCTTACGTATGCGTTTGCTGTCATTGTCTTTGTGGCGTTTGTGTGATGCTGTCTGTGAGTCGTGGCTTGCATGCATATCCCAGGGTCCTGAAGCGGCTGTCAGAAAAGCAAGCATGACCTAAAATTGTTAAAAGCTTGGTTTACGCGGCACTCTTCTGCCCCCAGCCCTCGCTGCAAAAGCCAGCACCGCACGTTTACCAGCGTTCGAGCCCTCTTTTCTTTCAACAGCTCCTGTGCTGTAACAGTCTGAGGCGTCACCATTGGCCACAATCCACATTCTTTGCCTCTCACTGCTCGCGCAGCAACTCGCTCCAGGACATGGCTTCTTTCATATCTGATGCTAGCATATCCTGCAGATGAGAGAATGGTTCCGGAATGGCATTCTAAGTCTAAGTTGTGGGGAAGTTTGCACCGCAGCAATCTAAACTGCATTCAGCGGCCATCTGAAGCTGAACTTGGAATTGATGCTGCGATTTATGGCATCATGCCTTGAGGTCCAATCCTGTGTGAGGAGGGGCGATCGGTAGCAGAGTTGGCAGCGATTTGGCCCAAAAGCCCCAAGCTGCAGGCCATCTGCACACAATGGAAGGCCCGAGCCCAGATCCTCACAATTCATGGCTCTTTTCGTTTCACGAACCGGCTCTGCCCCAAAAAGATGTGCGAATTCCGAAACACTTCACAAGATCTGGAAGCCTAAGGGAGTCCTGAAAGCTACAGTAGCCCCAAGTACATCATGTCCGAAATCGGATAAGAGCCTAAGCTGAAGCTTCAGCCAAGGTATTCCTGGAGGATGCCCGCCCGCGCTATCTCTGCGAGCACCTACTCTCCCACCACCAAACTAAGTTGCAAGGCCCGCTCCGGCTATGCCAGCTAGAGTTTTTTTGGGAAACGGATTGGGGCTTCGGTGGGTATCCTTAAGTGCCGGGTCACGGATTCCAGAGCGGAGTCCGAGGTAGAGAGTGTTTCCCGGCTCAGTTTTTTGAAGGATGCTGCGGCCTTACCCTGAGAGTATTACTTCATACTTTTTCGAGCGATGCTCACGCTGGGCACTTGCCTGTACTTCGTTCTGGTCGTGCCATGACTGATAAAGGCATATTCTACGACCTAGACTTGCATTTTTTACGAGCCCAAAGATAGAAAAAGCACAGCGCAGAGGTGGCTCTGCCGTCTCCATCCTGGGAGCCTTCCAAAACTTGGCAGCGGAAGATGCACAGGACATGCAAGCCCAGAGCTCGACTCCACGACTGCGTGGCTTTAACTGTGGTTGCAGGCTATCCATCTAGGACTGAAATCTTCGCGTGTTGGTGACAGTTCGATTGTCTCTGGAATGTCCTCCTCTTGCGCCTGCTTTCCCATGCACAAGGTCATTCTGGTTCTGTAACACGCAATGGGACGATGAGCTTATGGTTTGCCATGGTTTGCATCTTCGTCTAAGTAACGGTGGGTATACCGATCGATGCCCCAGGAGGCTCCGCGAAGTCGATGCAGTTTGGGAGCCAAGTATGCCAGGATTCCCAGAACAAACCGGGACCTGGCACTCGGAAGCCTCCACGGCTAAGCCGACCCCGAATTCGCCTGCAGCCCTGCGACCCGAGCTGTCATACGTCTCGCAGTCGCCATAAAAGCCGATCCGGCATTTCGGCTCATCTGCTGGGGGCCTCGCAGTACTGCGCTCACCTTTTTCCCGGAAGCCTACACAGCACCCTACACTCGGTTACGCTGTTTGAAAAGCCGTTTTGTGTGCGAGGAGCCGGCGGAGGTGCAGCATACGCTGGACCATCGACGGACAAGGATAATCCAGCAGGCCCGGAGACGCCACAGCACAGCAGCAGTCGGACGTGTTGCGAATCGTGCAAGGCAGCGAGCTGCTCCAAATACGAAGCATTAATTCCACTCTACTTCGAGAGCTGGGCAGCGTTTGCAGTCTGGGTGCCCAAGTGCGCCTAAATTAACGTACGAAGTACGAAGCTTGAAAAATGCGCGGGGAGATCGATCCTCACAGATATAAGGACGTAAAGTGCTGACATTCGCAAGCCTTTGCACAGGAATATAATGCTCATGGAACGAAACCTTCAAGATGCAAATACAGTCATACGTGCAGACTTTCGTTGCCTTGTTCATTCGTTTATTCATGCAGGCGTGGAGGCATATAGATGCACGCATGAACTCAACATATGCATGTTTACTTCCCTGCTGCTTGTTGTTCACTGACCGGAACATCGGCCACCATGCGTACTGGATTTGATGTTGCGCTGGTCGACCACATACCTACCCGCCCGAGTGCTTGGTTTGGCTGCAGCTGCCTGTTCGGGACCACGTAGTGGCATACTGATGGAATCAGTGATCTCAGCGTAGGAGGGCCCATTTCTCCATACCGATGTCTGGCCTTGCAACAGCTTGCGAAGTGCCAAGGGCCTAAGCAAAACGGGAGGGACAGGTCCAAGTCCGGCTACGGAAGACCCGGAGATTGAGCTGTGAGTCCAATAAGATTTCCAGCCGATGCCGATGATGCTCGCCCCGCAGTTCGTTGAATCCGTCCAATGCTAGGGTCGAACTCCGGAGATTGAGCTGTGAGTCCAAAAGAAGTTCCAGCTGATGCTGATGATGCTCGCCCAGCGGTTCGCTGAATCCGTCCAATGATACGGTCGAATTTCTACCCTGCTGTGGGCTGAAAGACCCGGAGATTGAGAGGTGAGTCAAAAAGGGTTTCCAGCTGATGCTGATGATGCTCGCCCAGCGGTTCGCGGAATCCGCCCAATGACAGGGTCGAACTGCTACCCTGCTGTGGGTTGAAAGACCCGGAGATTGAGTTGTGAGTCCAAACAGATTTCCGGCTGATGCTGATGATGCTCGCTCGGCGGTTCACTGAATCCGTCCCTGCGGTGCCACTTTGTCAGCTGGGCGGGTGAGCAAAAATTAGGTCGAGAAAAAATTAGGTCGAACTGCTGCGCTGCTGTGGGTTGAAAGACCCGGAGATTGAGTTGTGAGTCCAAAAGGATTTCCAGCTGATGCTGATAATGCTCGCCCCGTGGTTCGCTGCATCCGTCCAATGATAGGGTCGAATTGCTACCCTGCTGTGGGTTGAAAGACCCGGAGATTGAGTTGTGAGTCTAAAAGGATTTCCAGCCGATGCTGATGATGCTCGCCCCGCGGTTCGCTGAATCCGTCCAATGATAGGGTCGAACTGCTACCCTGCTGTGGGTTGAAAGACCCGGAGATTGAGTTGTGAAAGATTTCCAGCTGATGCTGCTGATGCTCGCCGCGCTTTGCTGAATCCGTCCAGTGATAGGCTCGAACTGCTACCTGCTGTGGTGAAAGACCCGGAGATTGAGAGGTGAGTCACAAAGGATTTCCAGCTGATGCTGATGATGCTCGCCCCGCGGTTCACTGAATCCTTTCAATGATAGGGTCGAACTGCTACCCTGCTGTGGGTTGAAAGACCCGGAGATTGAGTTGTGAGTCCCAAAAGATTTTCAGCTGATGCTGATGATGCTCGCCCCGCGGTTCGCTGAATCCGTCCAATAATGTAGTCGAACTGCCACCCTGCTGTGGGCTGAATGACCCGGAGATTGAGTTGTGAGTCCCAGCTGATGCTGATGATGCTGGCGCAGTTCGCCGAATCCGTCCGATGATGTCAAACTGCTACCCTGCTGTGGGTTGAAAGACCCGGAGATTGAGTTGTGAGTCCAAAAGGATTTCCAGCTGATGCTGATGATGCTCGCCCCACGGTTCGCTGAATCCATCCACTGATAGGGTCGAACTGCTACCCTGCTGTGGGTTGAAAGACCCGGAGATTGAGTTGTGAGTCCAAAAGGATTTCCAGCTGATGCTGATGATGCTCGCCCTGCCGTTCGCTGAATGCATCCAATGATAGGGTCGAATTGCTACCGGGTTGAAAGACCCGGAGATTGAGAGGTGAGTTAAAAAGGATTTCCAGCTGATGCTGGTGATGCTCGCCCCGCGGTTCGCTGAGTCCGTTCATTGACAGGGTCGAACCGCTACCCTGCAGTGGGTTGAAAAGCCTGGAGAGTTACAAAGGTTTCCAGCTGATGCTGATAATGCTCGCCCCGTGGTTGGGTCGAATTGCTACCCTGCTGTGGGTTGAAAGACCCGGAGATTGAGTTGTGAAAGATTTCCAGCTGATGCTGCTGATGCTCGCTCCGCGGTTCGCGGAATCCGCCCAATGACAGGGTCGATTGATTTGTGAGTCCAAACAGATTTCCGGCTGATGCTGATGATGCTCGCCCGTTCAACGGATTCCCTGCGGTGCCACTTTGTCAGCTGGGCGGGTGAGAAAACTTAGGTCGAACTGCTGCGCTGCTGTGGATTGAGACCCGGCGACTGAGATCTGAGTCCAAAAGGATTTCCAGCTGATGCTGATGATGCTCGCCCCGTGGTTCGCTGCATCCGTCCAATGATAGGGTCGAATTGCTACCCTGCTGTGGGTTGAAAGACCCGGAGATTGAGTTGTGAGTCCAAAAAGGATTTCCAGCTGCTGGTGATGCTCGCCCCGCGGTTTGCTGAATCCGACTGATGATAGGGTCGAACCGCACCCTGCTTTGGGTTGAAAGACCCGGAGATTGAGTTGTGAGTCCAAAAAGATGTCCAGCTGATGCTGATGATGTTTGCCACGTGGTTCGCTGAATCCGTCCACTGATGGGGTGGAACTGCTACCCTGCTGTGGGTTGAAAAGCCTGGAGAGTAAAAAGGTTTTCCAGCTGATGCTGATATTGCTCGCCCCGTGGTTCGCTGCATCCGTCCAATGATAGGGTCGAATTGCTACCCTGCTGTGGGTTGAAAGACCCGGAGATTAAGTTGTGAAAGATTTCCAGCTGATGCTGCTGATGCTCGCCGCGCTTTGCTGAATCCGTCCAGTGATAGGCTCGAACTGCTACCCTGCTGCGGGTTGAAAGACCCGGAGATTGAGCTGTGAGTCCAAAAAGATTTCCAGCTGATGCTGATGGTGCTCGCCCCGCGGTTCGCTGAATCCGTCCAATGATATTGGATATTGTCAAAGTGCTACCCTGCTGTGGGTTGAAAGACCCGGAGATTGAGTTGTGAGTCCCAAAAGATTTCCAGCTGATGCTGATAATGCTGGCGCAGTTCGCTGAACCCGTCCGATGATGGGGTCGAACTGCTACCCTGCTGCGGGTTGAAAAACCCGGAGACTGAGTTGTGAGTCCAAAAAGATTTCCAGCTGATGCTGATGCTGCTCGCTCGCCGCGCGGTTCGCTGAATCCGTCCAATGATAGGGTAGAACTCCTACCCTGCTGTGGGTTGACAGACCCGGAGATTGACTTGTGAGTCCAAAACGATTTCCGGCTGATGCTGATGATGCTCGCCCCACGGGTGCCTGACTCCGTTCGATGATAGGGTCGAACTGCTACCCTGCTATGGATTGAAAGGCCCGGAAAGGGAGTTGTGAGTCCACAAGGCTTTCCAGCTGATGCTGATGATGCTCGCCCCGCGGTTTACTGAATCCGTCCAATGATAGGGTCGAAAAACCTACCCTGCTATGGGTTGAAAGACCCGGAGATTGAGTTGTGAGTTCAAAAAGATTTCCAGCTGATGCTGATGATGCTGGCGCGGTTCGCTGAATTCGTCCAATGATGGGGTCGAACTGCTACCCTGCTGTGCCGGAGATTGAGTTGCGAGTCCAACAGGATTTCCAGCTGATGCTGATGATGCTCGCTCGCCCCGCTGAATTCGTCGAATCATAGGGTCGAACTGCTACCCTGCTAGGGATTGAAAGACCCGGAGATTGACTTGTGAGTCCAAAAAGATTTTCAGCTGATGCTGATGATGCTCGCCCAGCGGTTCGCTGCATCCGTCGAATGATAGGGTCGAACTGCTACCCTGCTGGGGGTTGAAAGACCCGGAGATTGAGTTGTGAGTCCAAAACGATGTCCAGCTGATGCTGATGATGCTCGCCCCGCGGTTCGCTGAATCCGTGCAATGATTGGGCTGATGGGGTCGAAAAACCTACCCTGCTGTGGGTTGAACGACCCGGAGATTGAGTTGTGAGTCCAAAAGGATTTCCAGCTGATGCTGATGATGCTCGCCCCGCGGTTCGCTGACTCCGTTCGATGATAGGGTCGAACTGCTACCCTGCTGTGGGTGGTCCAAGAGAGATTTCCAGCTGATGCTAATGATGCTCGCCCCACAGTTCCATTTGGTTGCTTTGCACCTGACTTGCAGTACGTACCATAGAGTG